TTAAACTTTTACAGCAAATGTGTGAAAACTTTTAGGATATATCGACGTGTTCTGTAATGTTTCTAAATGTGACTTGTTTCGTTTGTGTATGTTGTAGATTATGTAGGATTGTGTGGTAATGCCACATCCGAAACAAAGTAGCTGAATACATAGATCGTTAAATCGCGTGTTTGGAGCTCTCAGCCGCCAGTTAACACCTAAACGTTGATAGCTACCTGAGTGCTGTTGGACGTAACATTTCATCTTAATTATTTATTTATTTAAACAAACGTTCACGAGGTTTCTACTAAACTCGGACGATACCTATTTCAAGCGAGATGCGAAATGCCAATTTGTTTTTTCGCGTTTTCTGTTTGTTTTCTGCAAACGATATGAAAATATTCTACAGTGAAACAACAGCTTAGTGTTTTCATTGTTATTTCAAGTTTTATCTACATACTTTTCATATTTAGAAGTTTTATATGTGGTCTAGTTTCGAAAGTTTTTGTATCTTACTGAATTTGTGAACAAACCTTGTTTACAAATTTAAACGATGTCTGCATGTCTTCTTTGCTTTGGTTTAAAAGCGAGTGGCGATTCCAACTATGCTTTCTTCAGAAAGTTTCCGTAAAATATTATTATATATATTGAGTTTTAAGAACACCAAAATTGTGGAGAGTTAGGGTACTAACATTTCTCGAAAAAGTCACTCTTCAGTCACTTACTTAATTACATGTGATCCAAATCCTTTGTGCCATTATATATTCTTATAATATATGTAGTTTCCTGATTACTAACAATTAGAACAACAGACTAGGAACAGTAATTTGACTACGTGATAAAAAAACACAAAGTAAAATATTCTTCAAAATACAATTGTCCATGAATATTAAATCTTTTGTCATGTCGTAGCTCAGTAACTAGTATCTGATTACACAGCTCTCACAAAGGACGCTTGTAATATCAGACAATCAGGGACGGATGAGTGCCAGTATTTTTTATATAAAACATAAAGAGGAAAAATAGAAAATACAACTGCATTTTCCTAGGATATGGTCGTGACCTTTATATTGCAAGCTAAATGTCAAGGGTAAGTCCTAGCCGAGCACGGGGAAATATTGTAGGATAAAATCCAGGCGCGCCTCAACGCCGAGAAAGGTTTTGCCACTCAAGTTACAGGCTTTTGTGCGCTCCACTCCCGCATATATTAAATTGAAGGCGAAGTGGGCGCTAGATGCAACTGCTTATGTTACATCGCTATACGTACATTATCTACACCTTTCTATTGCATGCGCACAATGTAGAGAAATACCGGTCCATTTGAAGACTTACGTAACTCGGAACATGATACACCTGGTTAATAAAATATCAGGTGCAGCGTCGCACACGGTTACAATACAAAGTTATTATTGGAAAAAGCTTACATAAAGGCCTTTGTCAACAAATCGCACGGCTGAGAATGTACTCGGTTTGATTCAATGGAGGCGACAACGCTTACTTATGGCCTAAGACGATTTAAAAATATTTTCTAGTCTCAAGGAGCCGATCTCCAGACAATGCACTGTCCGAGCTATACAGACAGATGGAGTCCCGTTTTACCCTTTGGCTACAAAACTCCAAGAAAGAAAAAGATAGAATACTTCCTGAAGAACATTTTATAAACTTCACTGGAAGAAATCTTGTAAGAGGATTTACTTTTTGAAATCTGTGTTCGATACAAACATACATGAGGGTGTGAAAGCTGAACTTAAAAGAATAAGAGCGGCTTAATTTTATTACTTGTCGTTTCCGAATACTTAGTATTATGAAAATACACACATTGTTTTTATAATGAACTAGTTAGAATAAATGTAAATCAAGTTTACTTATTTTCGTGTCGTTTAATTGGGAGTGTTGATAAAATGTTGTCAATCCGTGCATATGTAATAAGCCTTTATTTGAGAGTGGTGTGATAATAGACGCTTTACATCATTTAAGTTTTCGGTAGAAATTTAATAGCCGACCAAAGGGGCGTGGTTGTTTTTGATTTATGACAAAAGTTCAATAGTACTCATATAAAAGTTAACAAAACATTTGGTTTGTTTGGACCATGGCGGTGGCAACTCATCGGTATAACTAATCGGCATCATCCACTTACATTCTTAACACCACGAGAGTTTTGCTCATCTTTTAGAAATCAAATTTTGAGGACTCGTTATCATTTTATTTAATTGAAATTTTACGGTACCTATCAATAAAATCATACATACTTATTTTAATGTCTACCCTGAATGTCTTCGCTTTTAATTAAGCTTTATTTTGGTTCGTGGGAACAGTACAACAATAACTGCAAATTACGTCCTAACGTTCTATTTTAGTAATACGTGAGTGTATGTTGGCATCTGTGTGGAGTATTTATAGAGTGATCGATATCAGCCTATAACCTGTCCCACTGCAGGGGGAAAACTTCTCCTCATATAGGGAAGCAATGAGCATTCATCACCAAGTTTTCCCAAGATGGACGATTTCAGATTAATAACTTTGTTGTTATTAGATTTTCTACTTTCTTTTACCTCGATTGTGTACTAGTGATTCTTAAATAAACTTATAAATTACATTTAATTTATTAATACATTATGTTCCTTTTTAGGTTTTCAGGAACGATGCAGTGTGCTAGGCGATTTATTATTAGTATTAAGATATTTTTTTTATTTGTTAAAAAAGCGTTGTTCTCCTTTGTCGAGGGCGCGCTAACATACAATTTCACATACACATTACACCCAGACCCGGAACAACAATTTGTGGATCAAACAAAGAGTCAGTTCAGAGACACGTACCGATAGTAATTGTTTATAATTTGTATATACAATATTAGAGATTTTGGTACATTTTTATAAGTTTCGATGTCAAAATTCAACATTTACTCGATACAAAGAATATGATAAAAACGTAGCTTTAGAGCCAAGCTAGAGTAATAGATTACAAACTAAAACTAGGGCAGTTGACTGCGGTGTTGATCCACAACGGAACAATTTTCAAACATGCATAAAATCAAATTATTAGTTCATGTAGAATTTATTGTTTACACGCAGCTCGGGGATTTGAAGTCGTAACTGCTATGTAAAAGTTTTTACTGAGTTTAAAAGGAAGAGTTATAAAGGAATGTTTTATTATTGTTTTTATGTAAGTATTTTCCTTGATTAGTTGGTCAATTGTGGTTCGGTTTTAATGATTTCTTCTAAGGGTACGTAAGGGGTGAAACCGGTTATTCTATTACAAATACTTTGCTTTGCGTCCGCCTATCTGTTTGGCTCATGATGGTCAGAAAGTTGAAATTTGGACTAATTATGTATTTCTGTTAACAACACTTAAAAGAAACCAAAATATATCCAATAACACTAACGAAAACGATTTTTATTTGTTTTTTTCATATATTTATCAAATAAACAATTGTATTGTAAACCTAATAAATAAATAAATCATTTTGTTTGCACAGTAATGTTTCTAAAATTTAGAACCATTTTGATGGATGTTTTATTGTAATTAATATTGCTTAGGTTTTAATACGTACATATATTTGGAGACGTGAAGTCGTTTGAATGAAATACATATATGTATACGAGTACATTATACAGTGAATGGGGGTGTTCCGTTTATGATGAATATAGAAGATTGTTTACATTTCATTTAATGCTACATTCTCATTCTTAGAAAATATTTTTTAGTTCATATAACAGCTTTTCGGCCCGATAAATTTATTTTGGCCACTGTAAAGAAGGAAAATATGTTGCGAATGATGAAATTGTTCACGTAACGAAACCTTTATGGGGTTTCAGTCACGTGTTCATTTTAAATAAATGCCAAAATAATTGTTTTTATCAAGCTAAAATCCTAAAGAGTCCATCAGAATATTGAGAATTTTCCTAGAACTGAAAAGTGCACTGGTACTAGAGATCAGAAAACACCAGTAGATTTATTGAAACAGTATTAGATGGATCAAAATATTAGTAGATAGCCCAGTAGATAGGTAGTCATAACACCAGACCTGGTGATTGACACATTGGCAGAGAACGGAATGTTTTGAGAAACAACATCGAGTTCACTGGCCTAAAACAAAGAGATCTTTACAACTTTTGACGCTGTCGATTTTAATGATAAACGAACTTTTTTTCAGGCATACTTACACTTCTTTCCTCAATACCTACAATCTACATATTAACATTTACATAGCGCTAAAGATTCAAAGGATATTTATCTTTCTATTAGACGTATATAGCTGATACAATACTAATTAAAATATACATTCATTTTTAATGTAGTAGTAATGGTTAATGTACCTACTTCCGTATGATTAGTCCTGTGTCTGAGACCTCAAACGCTACGCATCGTGTGATTGGAAAAAAAAATTGTATTTCCACCAATATTTTACACAATATTTTTAAAATAAGCACTCAAGGCAATCCAGGAACCTAACATAAACAGGACAGTAAAACATCTACCTCTACTGGCTGCACAAATAATATCTTGTTATGCACGCATGCCATTTGACAGCACGGTTGGCGCAGTTGCTAGGCCACTGGGTGCTGTACCACGTGTCACGGGTTCGATTCCCACACGAAAAAAATTGCTGGATTGTGTATTTAAATTTATGTTTGTAAACAGGAGAAAATCCTAATGTTTCTTTTTAATTGTTGCATTACTAATGCCCCTTGACATAATACTTGTAAATACTTCTATCGAAATACCTCACTATGGATTTATGACATCATAATATTTTTGTAAAAATGACCCATGTCGTCAAATATATTTTTACAATACAGTTTGAGTGTTATTGAATATTTAATTGTACTTTATTACAAAAATATTTCAATTTCGACTGAGAAAGAAAATAGCCCATTATCCAACCGTTACCGTAGAAAAATTCTAAAATCTATAAACTTATTACACTTATGATAAGAATCTGAGATTGCCTGATAAGGTATCTCTAAGAATGGACTCTATGACTACATATATATACAATGAAAAGCCATTATTGTACTTACGTTGATAACAACTCTTTCGCAGAAGTCGTGGTCGTGTTGTATGGGTTCGAACGTCACCACCCCGCCCTGGGGTGGACGTCCAGGCTCCTCTTCCTGGTTGCACAGTTTCGGCAGTGACCTGCAAACACCACCATTGTTAGACCTCTCGCATCACCCACCTACACCTAGAGTTAATCAACAATAAACGTTATAATTAGAACATGTTTCATCCCAAAGGTCAGATGTTATCGATAATGGAGGCCAGAAGCCAGTAGTTACAGAATCAGATATAAATACAGTAGGTACCGTCAACATAGCATAGATAGAACATGAAATGGTCCCGAAGTGAAAAGTCCGACCAATCAATTTATTTTATTTGCCGACAGTCAACAAAATATTCAGGTTCGCTCTCAGCTTCTATTTTACTCCCAACCATTAAAAATATAACCTTCATTCATATTAAAACTTCAGGTAGGCAGAATATCTCGCCCTCTCGTTGCCCCTCAAGGTTGTACGACAATGTATGCGCCCCGGCTTCGGCCGACCAAACGTGCTCAAACATGCCACTTATGTCGTCTTCATATTTCTCAGTTTGGCTGCGAAACTTGCCTGCCTTAGTAACTCCATCGTCCAGGGTTGCCTTGGTATCGAGCTTAATTGATATGTTAATATGTTAGAATCTATAGTTAGTTTAAAATGTAACCCTTCAAGTATTAACGAACTAAGAACTTTGTTACACATGTCTCCCAACTGAAAATGCATCCAACTGTACAGTTCTCCATTGAATAAAAGTTCAAAGAGAAGGCAGTGTATCATAATCACCATCACCATCCATCATCTCTATCATCATACAATATGCAAATGGAATATCGCAGCGGTAACCCTAAGTAGAGTAGGGCTGTGAGCCGCGAGTCGCGCCGTCAGCACACGGGGCCGAGAGTCGAGCCGCGTTGTTTTTCTAAAACGTTCCCCTTATCCCAGCGATCACTCTTTATTCTACTTTAGATGCTATTGAGACGAGATGACTTGACGACGGCACTACAAATGTGCCGATTACAGGCGCACTCAACTGTCACGTCACTTTGTAACCCTTTATGGGATACCTAGTCAGTCTGTTTTTATTTGTTCACCTTGTATATATAACGGGTTAAGACACCAAGCACATAATTTACCGTTCCACATAACTTGCCTGGGAAAATTGTATCGCAAAACATACGGTTTACAAGGTGCACCCAACCCCTTTCGCTTCAAGAAAACACCTTGGTACAATGCGATAGTTGTTTTATAATGACGTCGATTATATGTCATACATTATTTATCCATACATATAATAAATGGACCTGGCGCAAAAACTATACATATCTAGGAAAAAAACGAAGGTCGTGATTTAAGTTTAAAGGTTCATGTCCGAATTATTTTCGAGGCTAATAGTACCGACCAAAATCATGAGTTGTATTATGAAATGCTTGAGCATTTCGTATTTGCGTTTTCTGATTTTTAACATTTTATCCTATAATTATCAGAATTTTATATAGTTAAAAACCACATATAATTGTTGTTCCAAGTATTTTATGGCGAAAATATACACAATTATGTATTTTATGGAACAAATAAATATATTCAAGTTGTTAGTACAAGTCACAAATTGCGCCCTATTACATGAAACCTGCAATCATGCTACGGCATTATTATTCAACTTGCAATTGACAACTGTCAGTTCTCATTACATTCAACAAATAATGTCATAGGGCAAGACGTCGACGTTACATTATAATTATTATACACTACTTTTTTATGTGATAGAACGGTAAACGAGCAGATGGGTTACCTGAGGTTAAGCAATAGGCAGCAGCCATCGACATTCACTACACCAGAAAAGTAACCAGTGCATTGTAACCAGTTTATTAAAGTTTAGGATATTGTGGAAACCTGAGGGCCTACCATAACGTGTTAAAGCGTGAATCCTCCGGGCGAGAAAGAGGGATGGAGCTATATGTATACACCCTTTAGTTACTTACTTTATAGCTCCATCCTTCTTTCTCACGTCATAGTATTCGTCGAATTCGAAAACAAATTCTTGTTGAAAAGTTCAATTCATCGTAGAAAAAAAGTTCGTATAAATCACAATAAAGATGACCATGATAATTAGGTATGTAAGCAGAAAACGTGTCTATCGCGTTTTTTAAAAAGTACTTTCTTTTTTAAATCTTTATTTATAACTAGGAATGCACATATATTAAATCGAAATAAACTTAGTTCATACTTACTGTCGTAACATATTTCAAAATTATTAAAACTTTAAGCCACCGGCAGCACTAGAAATTAAAAAGGCTGTATTTTGTTGAAACTTTTAATTATATGTTGTTATTTTTTAATATTTATATCATCAGCCCGGGACAAACTACCTCCAGCCATAATTTCTAAAAATCAATTAAAAAATTCTACAATTGGGCCTGATTTTTTCAGCGTTATCAAACATTAATTTATTTTACCCCTATTAATTTAATCAATCCACATATGTTGTATGATAACGCAGTTGCAAAATCAATGGTACTTAACAATCGTATTGTATGTTTAATTATATTTATCAATATGGAGCAAGGTAGGTAGTAATTATACTAATGAGCTACTAATGAGCCTATTACTTGACGTAGGTATTTGAGAGTCAAGTGGTTATAAGTACCTACTGTTAGGCCTAATTCGGTCGGGCATCGATTGTATTACATTGCTCATAATGTTTGTGTTCGCGCAAGTAATGACGTTGTCCCGCTGCAATGTACGACAAACACACGATGAGCCTCACGCCGTGTCTTCGTAAATCAGCCCTAAGTCTGTGATATTCAATTCGGGTCAAAATTTAGCTGAGTACCCACTTCATTACGATGTAGTTATAGAAGTATCTAGAATGAACGTAAGCAAGTAACCCTGAATTTTGTCGCTTAGTAGGTTAAGTATGTATATGTGATTAGAAGTACTCATCACATCAACAGCCCATCATTGCTGGACTTGGTTATGGGTATCCTCTTAAATAGAGAGATTGGTATTATCTCTTGTCAATAGGAAACACGAAATTTATTACCAAAATAATTATTTTTATGGTGTAACGAGCACGTAATACCTGATGGTAAGCAGTTATGGACATTTGCAACATCAAAGGAGTTATGAATACATTTCCAGCCTTTTGGGTGTACCACTGCTTCATGTCTGTTAATATGTATTCCTAGAACTACTGCAATATAAGAGCAGGGGTAGTGAGTAATTACGAACCTCTATTATCTATTAAATGTGTCGCTTTGAACGTGAAATGGATTTCTATTGAAAAGTATTCTAGGAAATATAATTTGTCTCTTTCAATGAAAATGTTAGTAACTTTAATAAAACTTCTTCGAAATGTAAATTAATTTGAGATATATTAAATGTACCTACTATTTACAAAAAATAAGAAGTATTATTATTTAATTGATTTTTTTATAATAAATAATAATTTCTTTTGAAGGTAAGTCGTAGGCCTAAAGTAGCCTAATGCAATTGAGGAATCACAAGTACCCATAGGACACGGTTTTGCACGTCATGTCTCAGAAAGAGATCAGTAGCTGCGGCTTCAAGCAGCTGGGCTTAGCTCCGTCGTCTCCTCAAAGGAGGAAGAGCGCGTGAGTTAACTATCCTTCTGACGTCCCAGCTGCCGCAGGACAGGCAATAGCCCAATCTGAAGCACCAGATGAAAGCGTACGGAGGGACATGTACTAATAAAAATTAATATTTTTGAATAGGAACTGTCGTGAGAAATACTCAATTTATTGAAAATAAGTACTGGCCTGAATTAAAGGAGTAAAGCTCTACAAGTTTCGAGTTACAATGGGACTCTTATTCATTACATCGGATGCGGAACGTCGCCGCGATGCCCAGGTTAATGGTGATGTTACAATATACAAATCAACAAGATAAACTTCAGAATCTGTTTAATGGTTTCTTTCTCTTTCTCTTTTTAGGTTTCTTCGGCAACAATCTTAAAGTAACCAATCATGTAAGTCATCAGAGACTCTTACCTACCAGACATAAGACAGAAACATATCGAAATAATAATTGAGGCAGGTCTTCTGTGAGAGGGTGGCACTGTTCAGTCCAGCAAACAATTTTCACCACTAATAATCCGCTAGAATTACTTTCACGTAATATGTCAGTTTTCCGCATGTTTTACTGTTCATTGTTCAATTATTGTGAAACATGAAACACTATTGACTGTGGCATCAATGTGAGCAAAATAATTTTAATTGGACACAATGAAGTTATTTTATTTCGCACGGACGATTTTTTTGTAAGCCTCACTGCTTCCCCATCAAAGGAATAAACGTGAAATATTAAAAAATAAACTTTTGTAATAATTAATTGACAATTAAAATCTGCATTCAACAGAATAATTGGTCGCGTAAAATTTTAAAACAATATTGAAATAAACACAACCATTTGAGGCACTTTTTCCGTCACCACTGTGAGAATTCATTTTTCATTGTATTTTAATAAAAGGCATGATTACTGCCCTATTAAACCACATAAGGTATCAGAGTATATTAAAGATACGATAAAACTTATAGAAAAACATAAGAATTGTATTTATTTATTAAATTAGAACTGTTTATTACCAATTATGATAACTTATACACACACTAGTAATATAACGATTTAGTACTTATATTTTATTATTTACGTTTGTGTAAGTAAATTATTTTTATATTATATAAAATTAAAAAATCACATTCGCTGGGCATTCTTACTTTTAGGCTAAGAACTCACGGAGCGATTTTGAACCGTGCCCGCCGCGGTAGCGGAACTGCGGTTTTATTTACAAACTCACGAGACCGGTTATTTGCGCGGTTACACAGCCGCCGCGGTTGCGATCATCGCCCGCAAACGTGGCGGGCACGCACACGAGCCGTTGCGTTATATTTACTTCACAGAAGACCCGCCGGCCCCCGCGGTCGCTCGCCAGATTCTACTAGTTGCCCGCCGGTACAGCGGGAGCCGCATACAACCGCGTACACCGCGGGCGTAAAACGCGTCGTGAAATGTGCTTTAATTTTTTATATATATATTTGAATTCTATAGAAGCTGCGGGCCCGCAACCGCAGCGGAAGCGGGCGA